CAACAGAGTTACAGTCAAACATGAGCACTCTTGCTTCAGTCAAGCTCCAAATAGCAGAGAAGCATTGAGCTGAGGCTCCCAAAGCAGAGATGAGGACACAGTGAGTTCAATAGACCTATATCAGTTCACAGCATAGGGCCAGGAGAGCTCTTCCACAGAATCACAGAATTGTAGGGGTTGGAAGGGACCCCTAAAGATCATCAAGACCAACCCCTCTTTCTCTACAATCCTGCCCAGCATTCAAACTGGACCACCGAAACACCAGTAATGAGACTTCAGCACACGTATTTTTTTTGCAAGTGTCTGAAGTGGAAACTTGCTGAACTGATACTGATAAAAGCTTGTGTTTATTAGAAATCTTCATATTATTACAATTTCATTACAGAAATTAGAAGTATACAATGATTCAGTGCACGAATTAAAATTCATGATCCATAAATAAATGCTTAACAGGAGTACAGGGAACAATTTTAAAGGAATATAGATAAAAATAGTACCATTACCATCCGTTCCAAACTAATGAGCCAAATTTAGATGGCTATTGTTCTTCAGGCTCATTAATGATAACTGAACATGAATCACAAGAAACATAAAATACATTGATTTTTACCCAGTCTTTTTAAAGATTTTCTTTTCATCAAAACTATACGTACAAACTAAGGAGATGGGCAATGCAAAGAAATCAGCATTGAATTCTCTACTAACTCAGTAAAGGTTTGAACTGCAGCAGTTTACAGTCAGAATTATAAACAAAGATGAATGTCATCAGTAAAAATGAATGCTTTCTCTTATAAAGTTACCTTCAGAAATCAAATGAAGGGTGATATGTAATACAAATAAAACTTATTGCATGTTGAGACAACTACCATAAAGGTAACAGGCCTTGTCAATATGGCACATACCCGTATGCAATTTGATATTCCAGTGCTAGAATACATCCATAGTGGATAAACATTTATCTGCTTGCAAAAAGGAAGGGGCAGCATTAACACTGCCAATAACAGCACACTAATGCCTGCTCCATCTCTCAATGGTAAATCACTGAATACACAAAAGGAATGATCTTAGTATCCCTGAGGGAGGATGATTTTAAACCTCAGTGACATCAGAAAGTTGTGTTTTTAGTCTGCATAACAGCTGCCGGATAGATTGCTCCAAGAGTGCATGAGAACACATAGAGGTTGGTCCAAAACATATGGCTTCCACTGCACTGAGTGATGGCTCAGGTTGGAAGTGCAACAGCCATGAAGGAACACCAAGGCACGAGGACCAGCGGAGTACAGCTGTGACAGAGCTGCATGTCAGTGAGGAGTTACCCTTCATATAGCACCATATATCCCCAGTCACAAAACCCTTGCATTGAAGAACATTTACAAGGATAATGACTGCAACACCAAAGGAACCATTTTTGTAAATAACTACAGTAAAGGAGCACAACTTAAGCTATTCATATGAAAAGTATTAATCTTCAAATAACCAACCCAATACCTCCACTACCTTTGACAATCATGACTGTATATCCTCTAGCCTGAAAACCTCCAGCTCTGCTTACTCCAAATCCACATGCCTGATCACTGACTCTTCTTTATTTCTAGCTTTTCTCTCTGCTTCTTCTAAGCAGGATTTCTAGTCAAAGCTACAGGCTAGCTAAGTTTGGTCTACAGGGAGTAACCACACTGCCCAAAGGGCACAACCTGATTATAAACAAGCCCGTGAATGTAGAGTTGGACATCAGGGCTTCAGTAGGAGCAAGTCATACAGCCCAGCATACCCTTAGAGGCCAGCAGAGCCTGAACTGAAAAATGAGAAAGCTGGGGAGCAGAGGGAGGAAGGCAAACATAGGCCTGCCTCATTTCATTTTTATCAGCGCTATGAAGTCCCCTCGTTTGACTGGCTGTTCATGGGACCATAGCAGTGTGCAGAGACCAGAATCTTAGGAAAACAAAACATTGCTACTCTGTACTATGTTTTATTAGTGTGTTTTCTCATGTTTTGTTTCCAAAACATGCCAGACAGCTAAGAATCATTGAGAAATAGTGCCATTTTGCATACTGCACAAACCATGTCAGTAGAATTTAAACAGGATGCTAAGAATGTGGAACTCCCAAAATGAAAACTTAAGGCCTTAGTACAGGTAGAGGAAATGAAAGTTAGTGAATTAGATCTGGCCCATTTTTAATCTTTAAGCAGACTACAAAGTAACCTCTGAACACACCTGTAGAAAACCCTGTAGAACACTAACTCAAAACCAAAATTGTACCCTACTAAAACAACATTTCATGCTTTTATACAACATCCACATATCTATGTAACCACATATTAAAACACCTCTAAGTATGTTTGAGGCAGTCTGAAAACAAAATACAGCCATACAAGGAAAAAACACTGTAAACTGAACTAATCTGAAATTCAAAAGATCAACCAGTGGCAGACCAAGTCAGATGGAAAGTACAGCCTTGTGTTCAAGAACCATGAAGAAACCCTTAATCTGAAACATACATTACAGGAAGCCTCTGCCCCCACAGATGTACCTCATTTTTATCTCCTCATCTTTTCTGAACTGCCAGAAGCTGTCTCCCTGACAAGCACCTTGCAAACACCTTTTCAGTTGCACCAGAGAAGCTTCAAATAAAGTAAAAAGTTCCAACAAAATGAAGACCTGCCTTTTTGTAACACCAAATGCCACTCATCTCACATTTTCAAAAATCTGGTAATAAGGCTATGGAGCCCCTGCTGAGCTCCTCTGGATTCTAGGGTTATTTTGGATTCAGCAGAGGGTTCATTTGGATAAGGGTCCCCCAGGAATCCTACCACCAGGAATGACTGAAGAAAAGTATCTGTGCTGCTCACACTCCTCCCGCCAGCTCTATGAAACACGAGTTGCTGCCTCTCACTCCTTAGCAACCTGATGCAGGAACTATTTTACATGAATAGCTGTATCCTATGGCACTTTCAGCCAGTGAGAACCAGTGAAATAGTTCACAGGAAATGGCCCAGCCAATGAATAGAAAAAAAACAATAAAGGCCAGATCCTAAATCACCTGCCACCCATCATACAGAAACCTTCCAAGTCCCACAGCCTTCTGTAGCTTTCAACTTCTTATAACTGCTAATAAGAAGTAAAGAACACAAATGCCAAAGGTGAAAATTCCAAATGCAGTGTAATTAGCAGATTTTCTGCACAAAACCCTCTTTGCTAACAATTAGTGCATATTTCACTGCAGAAAGAAAAAGTCCTAAGGAAAGCTGAATGCTAATTTTAAAGCAATCAAAAATGCATAGATGTTTTAAATTACAAGAAATAGCTCTGTAACATCTTGACTATCTAAACAGAAACAGATGGTTTACATGGCTTCACTACTTAATTAAACATTTTATATACTCCACAAAATCACATCTGATGGCGCTCTTTCCGACTGGCTTTCTCAATTTAAAATTAAAAAGTAATTTTAAGTATGCATCACATTAAGCTGAAAATTAATAAAAACGTTCGTATTTGATACCAACCTACCAATTTAGTTCTCTAAATACCTGTGAAAAATGCAATCAGTGGTCCATCTCCTTATTTCTTCCTTGTGATAATGTTAGCATTTTTTTCTTCGTACTTCTAGTAGATTCCTTTATTTTAAATAGTCCTAATTCAAAAGCAAATATCTTAGATGTTCCCCTCCCATCACCTTTAAAATATAAAAACAGCGCAACAGGAAAAAATAAGATCGAACGGATTTTATGAAGAACTTAAAACCATCTCCAAACAAGATAAAGGTATGAATGTTGCTATCCTAGTAAGATACAACTACCTGTGTGTGGGTAGGAAAGATCTGAGAGAGATGACAATGAAGAAATTTTGAAGAAACTATTGAAAAATAGTTTGAAAATATTGAAAATATTACGAGTGAAAAACAACAGGGAAAAGGTGTGCTGACACAGGACTAAAGTCAGTTTACCTGCTTCTACAGAGCCACAGTCACCTCACTGGAAGGAAGAGAGGAATGCAACAGAAAGACTGGGTATAACAGTCAAGGTTTTAATTACATAAATCATCATTCAGTTCAAACTTTCTGTTGTAAGTCAAGTGAAGGAGAAGCTTTCACAACTATTATTTATAGTTAACAGTATAACTTTCTAAAGCTGATGCAAAACTGATGTAGTAAAAAGTAGAAACAGATAAATATCAAAATTATTCAGCCAGGTGCTCGTTCAAGTGTGTGATTGCTAATGACACACTAAGATTAGAATGAACTTTGCTCTGTTCTTATTGATATTTCAAACGGGATAAATTGGCACAAGAAGGTAGTATCATCAACTGCATTCACAGACGGCCTTGCTCAACTAGGCTGCAGTACAATCTTTACACCAGATGAAGTACAGAACAGAGGAATGAAGTTGGCTTGCGAGTCACAAAGCCGGAAGAGTTGCAGATCGTTATGACCTTCTACCAGAAGCTCTGTCGTTAGCACATACTTAAACCTACAACAGCCTTTCTGCTTTTTTTCAGGCATTTGTTAAGCACCAAACTCTATGAAACTTTGGAGAACATTTCTGTTCCCCTTAGCCCACCGAAAACCTACATTGAGCAGCAACAGAGCAAACCATTAAGAAGCATTCCTTAACTAATGATAAGCAACTACATCATAGCTCAGTCCGTCACATACTACTAGTACAATGAAGAAAGATACAGAAGAAATAATCCAGTTTTGCCATTTAGTTGCACGTATTTGGATAAAAATGCAATTACCAAAAAAAGTGAGGCTTTTTAAAACAATTATTTACTAATTCAAAATATCAACTGTAGAACACTGAAGCAACGTGATAAAAGTGGGATAGCTAGCTGCTAAAGCAATCCAGACCTCCATAGTTTTGTAGCAGTCTACTCCCTATATTCACTAACACTCTGTATAATCAATGAATATAAAGATGTTATTATTACGAAAAAAAAAACCAAGAGAGTTTGACAAAGCAGATTATAATAACAAAAAGAGATTAGATAGAATGCTTACCCATGTCCTGAGCTTGCTGCAAAACTCCAAAAGACGGATCTCCAGAAGAGATCCTTCCCCCCGGTAATCAGCCCTTAAATGGGTCTAGGAGAGATGGAGCCAGGCTCCGCCCCTTCTGGCAGCACAGGAGAATTGCCTTCACCTGCGCTCCCGTGGCTGACACAGTGCTCGCCTCAGGTGATCAGAGGTTCAGGCCATGATTCAGCAGTTTCCATACACACTCAAATTCAGCATTCAAAACCACCAAGACAACAGCAGAATGACTGACTCATTGGACTCCCTACCACTAAAAATTAAAGTAAATAATTTAAAGAATATTTTCAGGTGTGCTTTTTTTTTTTTAACCCACTGTACCTTCATTACTTTAATATAAGCTAAGGTCATTATTAAACTTTAATCATGACTGCTTGTTCTTGTATTCCTCAAGCTAAAACGAAAGCTTTTACCCTTTGCCATGATAACATTGCTTTCTATCTGCATATTGATTCATAGCAATAACTGATTTTGCTTACCTAGCAGTTGCTTATAATCCTCAAGTGAAACTTGAGCTGAAATAAAGGAAGAAACACATGACAGTTACTTACGTATACTAACTTAGTATTAACATGTTTATGTTTCACTAAGAATTCTTCACTTAATACCCCCCAGGGACCTTATGCATCATCCTGTGCTAAGGGAGCTTTAGCAGCCCAACGTCCCCACCCAGCCGAGAGATTCCATGGCGGTGAATACCCGAAACACGAAAACAGAAAAGAAGTTGCATTTAAGTGTGTAACTGTGTAACTTCAAGTATCGTTTAAATTCTGATAGCTGAAAAACAAAAGCAAGGGAGTGCTGCTCTTCAACCTTCCTAACAAATCATTTAGGGAGGAAATATAAACGTCTCAGGTTTTTTTTTTTTTTTTTTTTTTTTTTTTTTTTTTTTTTTT